ATTATCATTTTTATCATTATATAAATTTTGATGGTTACGTCATACATTTCGGGATGGATATGTTTATATTTCATGTATAGTTATTTGATAAAATAATGGCAGTTCAATAAGAAAACCGTTTTTTCTATGATTATTATCTATTTTTATATTTAGTGGTTTATAAAAAATGAATGAAATGTTGAGTATTTAGCTCAGTTATCAAACGTTGTTGGGTATCAACTGTAGTGCCATACAATTAGTTCCCTTGACAGACTATAAATTCAACTTATATGAATAGGTAAATTGACTACAATCATCGCTAACTACTAAATTAAGTAACTATACATTGTTCAATCTGAACGTTATTTGAACTCAGTATTTAAGGAGATAACGCAATGGCGATTATAACGAACTATACTGGGTTAGAGTTTCGGAGTACTAACCAACTCTAGGATCTAGGCAAATCCAGCTGAGTCCAAAATAGAACAAAAATCATATCCTGGTTTCTAATGCCAGATACATCTTATCTATTCAATAAATAACTGTATGAAATTTACACACGAAGTCATATTTACAAAACATTTTATCTATATAAATCAGTGAATAAGGTCTAGAGCACGTGAAAATAAATGAATTCGCTTGATCCCACTATGCTTATGCTTCTATTTTACGCTATGTCGAATATAAGTTATGTACTAGTCTTCAAGGTAAATAAATTCAGCAAGGTGAATTTAATTTACTGAAGATATGTCGAACATGACTATTCACTTGATGAATATAATGATAACGAATAAGCCAGTAAGTGGAAATAACAAATTTTGAAGCTAGAAAGTCATTAGACTGTGGTAAAATAAAAAAATAAACATCGCTTTCTTATACAGAAATCACGAATTTACCAATGAGCCCCTAAATCCTAATCCAAGCACAAATTTCCGATTCAACTTCCTGTGAGTCAGTTTTTGATATTTTAGAACATCCTGAATGACAATCCAGGTGATACAACATAACCACGTTTTCATGAATGCAAACATTGTCTGACATTCAGTCACTTTCAGATAGCTGTAGATGATAGAGACTGAATTTACGTTTAAAATGCGAAAACATTTTGTCACCACTATAAAATGACTTACAATAACGAGTAAACGACATACATTTAGGTGGGTCAGAGTGAGAAATTGTCGCAATTTGAAGAACATTTATTTAAAGAGAAAAAAATAGATAAAAAATATCATTCTCTTTCCCAATACACTGACATTTTTTATTGAATCTCAAACATCAAAGGCATCAAATATGCCTACTAATGTTATTAAGAATAATTATATATTTGAAAACTTCCAATGAATAGTAAATCGATTTTCTGATGTTTCGCACCCTAGTGTATGTCGTTTCTTTACAGAATAACTAACCAAATTAAATTAACACGAGTTTAAATAGTACAAAAGAAACAAAGGAGAATACTTTTAGTCCAGTCGAAATCGATAAAGGTCTAATCATGTTATTGTTATTACATGATTTCTGTCTGGGTGACTTCGTGATACTCACTTTTGTGTGTATGTGTGAAAATCTGTTGACATGGGAAATATCAAAGTTGTAATGTGACCTGAAAGTTGAGGGTATATAAGCGAGAGCAAAGCTTGTGGTTTTGACTCCTTGAAGTGAGGTCGTAGATGTTCATTTCTGAGGAGTCCCATAGTAGGAAGAAGCGGTTATTTAAAGCCTCCAAATCTTCACTTGTCTAAATTAGATCGGTTTGTGATTCCAATTAAATTTAATAATCCCCATAACCTCATATAGAGTTTTAAATATTTGGATGTTAGTGGTGAAACATGTGAACAAAATTAAATACGTGGATATTTGGATAAATGATTCATGTTCAATGAATAGTTAGGGCTTCTTTTGTATTGGTAAAGTTAAGGTTTAACAATATGTTAAACGTTTTAGCAAATCATCCTACTTTATAGTTGCTGAAATTTTTTCGAAGTATCTTAATGTTTTGAATATTGATCCGATGGTTATTAAAAAAATATCATATACTACTATTTCTGATTTGATCTATAGATTTTCGAGTTCTACAGGATTATTCGCAAGTTTTTTTATCGGTTTCTACATTCCTTGGCACAGTTTGAGATTTCATAAAAAGACTTACCAATGTAGAAAGCTTCATAATCTACACATTGTAATCTGTAGACACATTTCTTTGTTGAGTGTTTGTTGTTTTATGGAATGCTTTCAGATTTAGGGATTCGTTACAGTTTTTCTCTTGTGCCTTGATTGTATGGTAGAACTACAGTACCAACTTAGGCGATCTCCTTTATTATTCAACAAAGGAATATTTCGTTTTATTATTTTTTTAAAATAATATTAATGATATGGAAGCTAATTATATTTTTATGTTTCTCTTTGTTTCGCTTAATCTGATGTAATGATCATTAATGCTCAACTGGATAAACTTAGAGTCGGAGAAATTTTCGCACTAAATGGATATAACGAGTTGTAATCTATGTACCGATTTGAATATGTTAGCTTGCTGTATTTGGTGAAATGTAAATTTCAATTTGAGTTCCTTTTGGCTAAAGGGATTAAAAATGGTATTCCACTAAGTTTATCTTCATTTTCGAAAATGACTTTGATGTTTGATGAGGTATTTATCAGTTCATAAAAGTTTCTTAAGAAAGTCTTTTTACTAATGACGAATATGTTATCCACATATCTAAGCCAAACTAGTGGTGTGATGGCACTGGCAAAATCATTTTCTATGTGGGACATGAATAAATTAGTGACACTAAGGGACACAGAGAATCACATAGCCACCCCGTTAACTTATTTATATGACGTCCTTTTAAACGTAAATAAAGTTGGGTACTGGCATAGTTTCAGAGAATTCTTCATAACAATAATGTTAAATGAACATCCGCTGGATAGAACAGTATCATTCTCTAACAAAACATCAATAAAATCTAGTCATCTATCAATTGAAATGCTAATATGTAAAGATACGACATAACAGCCTACCAATATTTCATTTTTTCGTACCTAACCCAAAATTTTCGGTTTGGATTCATAAGAATCATTAATTGATTTAATGGTTGAGATCATGAGTCAGTTGAAGCCAGACCACCCTGGAAAACCTGGAAGCACTGGACAACCGTTTCTCGTTATTAAGTGGTTTTTCCTGGAGTTCTAGCGAGAAGCACTGACTAGTGGAGTTCAACCGGGTCTGTTGCAATATTGTAACTCACTGATGACAATGGTGGATGTGTCGCTCAATTTCGTAGATAAGTTGAAGTTAGACATTAACACCATTAGATGCCGACTCAATGATCTAGTGGTTAAGCGTTCTTGCGCGAGACTGATAGGTTCTGGGTTTGAATCCCGCGAGGCGGGATCGTGAATGCACACTGCTGAGGAGTCTCACAATAGAACAAGACGGCCGTCCAGTGCTTTCATGTTTTCCATGGTGGTCTAGCTTCAAGTGACTCATTATCTCAACCACTGAAATTACTATAATATTCACAAAAACCCTCCCGATATGAATCATTGATTGCATTGAGTATGCCGCTTTGGTATTTTGATTAACCATATGCTGGCGTGTTTGTAAAGTACGTTAGAATATCAGGTTTATGATTTTTTGATAATACATAAACCTCTATTCATGTAATGGATCTATGATGCCCATCGACCCCCTGCCAGTTACGTGGTATGGATTGCTACGTGTTTCCATTATGTTACGAAATATATCATTTCTATCCACTATTGACAGGCCTGCCTAATAGTAAGATAGAAGAACCCAGTGTCCCTAGATGTTGGAATAGGTTGCTGCTAATAACTGAATAACAATTCATCCGCAACAGGGTTGTCGTCAGCATTTATTTGGTTTGATAAAGCATATTCTTTTAGTGGCTACTTTAGAGAAACAATCCGTATCTACGATAATATGCCACTATAATCCTTATTATCCATGAGAAAAATCTAGACAAGTTTTTATTTGCATCAGAAGGGTTTTGTGGAGACTGTAGTAATTTCGATAGTTGAGATCATGAGTTAGTTGAATCTAGATCGCTATGGAAAACATGGAAGCACTGAATGGCCCTTTCGTGATAGCATGGGACTCCTCAGCAATGTGCATCTACGATCCCGCTTCGCGAGATTCGTACCCAGAACCTATCAGTCTCGCGCAAGAACGCCTAACCACTAGATCATTGAGTCGGCATCTAATGGTGTTAATGTCTAACTTCAACTTATCTACGAAATTGAGCGACACATCCACCATTGTCATCAGTGAGTTACAATATTGCAACAGACCCGGTTGAACTCCACTAGTCAGTGCTTCTCACTCGAACTCCAGGAAATACCTCTTGAAACCAGTCACTAGCGAGCATATGTTGATTAGTATCAGAAGGGGTTTTGTAAAGATTAAAGTAGTAGTGGTCTAGCTTCAAATGACTCATGATCTCATCTACTGAAATTTTTATTTCTTGTAAAGCAACTTAATTGAGATTTACATTCCTTCGTTAAAAATTCTTTAGTAGTAATATTCTTGTATAAATAATAACAAGTGATTTATGATGTTTAAAATTTTTTACAGTACTTTGATTGATAAAACATTTAAATAGGGTTTTTCTTGTGATTAACTTGTTAAAGTTTAGCAGATGTCCTGGAAATAAATACTCCACATAAAAGGTTGATAATGAAACACCAGAATTATTGAACATATATTTACTGAGTGTTTTGGAAAACGAGATTTTTGATTCTGTCTCTGTTAGGTTCCCCTAAGCTTCAAAGATATATTTCCTAATCACTCCTTCACAATGATATCGGTATATTCTTAGAATCGTCTGTATTTGTTCTCTGATAAATCCTACGGTACATATACTCTTAGTGAGGTAGTAAATTCAGTTTCCAATAACTTCGATTTCGCCTAGTTGGTGTAATTTATTGCAAGACTATTAAAAATATTAATGTTAGCACAACAAGAGTAACCAATAATGTTGTTTTCTGTTATTGTTGTTCACTGTTTAAAGGTATTTAGTTGAACATGGAACAGCATCATTACAAGAAGCTGATGAAAATGGACGTTTACCTATTCATGTAGCAGCAGTATTTGGTCAACCAGTTATTTTATCTTATCTCATACGTGTTTTATCTACTCGTCTTCATCCACTTAACATTCCAGCTCAATTTTTATCTGCATTGAATGAAGATAATGAATGTTCTCTGGAAGAGGAAGAAGCTGAAGACAATGTAAATATGAAACAAAATGAGAACGCATTTCATTGTAAACTACCTGAGGCTGCAAACAATTCTTCAGACAGTTTTAAAACAAGTATCATGAAAACGATTGCAGCTGCAAATTATCTCGATATGAATCACTGGACTCCGTTACACCATGCAAGCTGTGAAGATGCTGTGAATTATTATTATGATTGTATAAAAATTCTATTAGATAATGGAGCTGATCCAATGTTGCCTACTTCACAAGGAAAAACTGCATTAGATTTAGCATATGCTGCTGGTAGATCACAGTTGTTAGTTGATGTATTACCAAAGAAACAATTAATTGCTTTACTGATGTTAATCGATGATATCGTTCCACTGAAAGTGAGAAAACGACTCTCCGAAGAGGAAAAACTAAAAGAACGTACTGGATTAGGTGGTATGACAGCTAGTGAACCATACTCTGTAATGAGTACCAAAAGAGAACCTAGCCCAGGTTTAAGTGCTGATATGCATAAAAGATCTCGTAAAGGTTATTCATTTATTCGTCGTTTAGCTGATAAAATGGATACAACCGATGTTAGCAAAGGTCAGTTCGGAAATTTCACAAAAACTGTTAAAGTCGATAGTACAAATATAATGAGCATATGGCGTAAGATTTTATTAAATGATAATGTAGAATTATTAGAAACACTAAGAGACTCTCTAGCCTGGAGACAAAGCAAATCAAATACTTCTACACTCCCTACAGATTTTAGCAAAATAAGTGATAGTATAACGATGCCTACAGATCACATTTCATTAGATGATTTTGAAACTGCGCAACAAATTAGCCTAAAACAAATGTCTGAACTATTTTCTGATTGTTACGAAAATGGTACTGGTGTTTTTACACACGTTCAAGGTGCATTTCAAGAAAACTTAAAAGCGCATGATTTTCGAACTGTTCTACAATCAATGAGCGGTTTACTTACTTTCAAATCACTAAGTACCAATAAAATTGTGATTCTTCGTCCAATGCATAGATCATTGTTATTCTTAGCAATTATTTGTGGACGGTTTCGTGTCGTTGAACAATTAATTCGAATGAGACAATTCGATGTTTTACCAGCAGCTGTTTTGGTGACACTTATTCTTCGTCGACTTCACAAAGAACCTACTTTTCCTCAACAAGTAAGTTATGTACATAATTTTAAAACAAATAAATAATTTTTAACACTTTTGTTATTTAGAAAATGGTTGATAAACAGATTAGCCATGACTTCTTAATACTTATTAGGAACTAACTTGGTTTTAGATGCTTCATAAAGATTACTCCTAATCTTTTAACATAGAAAGCAGTTCATCATGATTTTTTGTCACCTAAAGTGATAATCACTCTATACTAATGATCAATTATATTTACCCCTTCTGATAATAATCATCTGCTCACTAGTGACTTCAAGAGATACTCCTGGAGTTCTAGTGAGAAGCCGTTACCAGTGGAGTACAACCAGGTCTGTTGTGAGATATCAGCTCACTGAAGACAATGGTATATGGTGGCGCAACTTTGTGGATTGGTTGAAGTTAGACATTAACACCGTTGGATGCCGGCTCAGTGGTCTAATGGTTAAGTGCTCACGCGCGAAGCCAGTAGGTCCTGGGTTCGAATCTCACAGGGAGTGAGGTCGTGGATGCGCACTGCTGAGGAGTCCCATACTAGGACGAAACGGCCGTCCAGTGCTTCCAGGTTTTCAATGGTGGTCTAGCTTCAACTGACTCATGATTTCAATCTGTGAAAATTTCTAAAAATCTCCACAAACCCCTTCTGATAATTATATTTAAGACGAATTTCACAGCATCACATTACTAGCTATTCAGTGATTTATCAAACACATTTACTTTTATTTTATCGAGTTACATAAAATGATTTATATAAAGGCACCATATTTAAGTGGAATTCTACAAATGGATTTCATACAAATTTATTATATATATATAAGCGCAAAATATAAAGGCGATATTTCTTCAGAAGTATTTGCAAGCCAACTGAAACGATACTTAAGATTATCTTTTCTTGTTATAACTTTATCAATAAAGTTAAGATGTTTTTAAATATAAATAAATCATATATTTGTAATATCCCAATGAGTAAGAAAAGTTAAATTTTCTGACGTTTCGTGACTAAGTGTAAGGCGATTCTTCTGAGAATAAATAAATAACCAAATCAAAATTATTCCAAGTTAAAATTTTAAGATGTTTTTAATTCATCAGATATAAATTAATGCATGATAGTTGTAAGACTAGATAAATACCGGCTCAGTGGTCTAGTAGTTAGGCACTCGCACGCAAAACTGATAAGTCCTGGGTTCGAATCTCAAGAGGCGGGATGGTGGATGCGCACTGCTGAGTAGTCCCACAATAGGACGAAACGGTCGTCCAGTGCTTCCAGGTCCATGGTGGTCGAGCTTCAATTAACTCATGATCTTAACTATTGAAATTACTACAATCTCCACAAAACCTCTTCTGATACAAATTCAATCCCTTCTATGATATTATCATTTTAAGTACATAAACACATATTTTTAGTAGATGCAACACTTATTTACCCACTGAACAATGGAAACATTTTTAGATTATACTTTACAGAATATAGTAAGTAGTTAAATGCCATTTCTAGTAAACGCAAATTAGATCTGAGAAACATGTTTTAATCACAATTATTCTTAACAGATATTGAAAAACATAAAGAACTGATTGAATGTCATTCGACTGAAATATAATAAAATGAGTTTTCAATAATCCTGTACATCTTTTTTTAAGATGACTCATGAAATCTTAAGAAAATCTATTTTTATTTGAATTAATTTTTAGATGTTAGGTGAACTGATCACTTTTGCTGACCGATTAGAAGCTATCGCTGTTGATGTACTCAATCTAGTTTTTCTTAAAGACAACACTCCAGAAAAAATGATATGTCGTTCAATGTTGAATGCACCTTTGCGTACATTCGGAGGAATTTCATTAATAGATTTATGCGCCAAAGCTAAATGTACTAATGTATTAAGCTTATCTTGCTGTCAAAGACTTCTGGATGAACGATGGCACGGGGTTTTGATTTGTTTGCCTATATGGATGAGATGGACATGCAAATTTTTCCCTGTGGCTGGGCTCTTTTATTTTGAATACAGAACGAAAAAAGAACTTAAACGTGCAGAATTAATAAGAAATATAACAGCCAATGCAGCATTAGGTGGTAAAGTGACTCCAAACTTACTCAGTGATTCAGCAGGTCGTACAGAATCAAAATCTACTGGGAATATTATAGCTAAAGTTTTCCCTGCCACACCTCAATTACCTAACAATCCATTAACCATAAAGCGCACAAAGCCACTGAAAGTTCAGAACACCATCTCTGTCCATTCATCTCAAGGCCCTAAACCACATGTAAGTATTTACGAACGTATGTCAAATCAATTTGGATGGACCTCTTCACCAAGATTCCATTTTGTTACAGGAGTTTATTTGTCACCTTCAATGAAATTCTGCCTGCACTCTTTATTTCATTTATTATTCTTGATGTTGTTTTCAGTTGTATGTGTATATAATCTACATTTTTCCTGTAGTCGAATGGAAGTAGTTTCTTTATCTTATGTATTGGGTTATGCATTTGAAGAGTTAAGACAACTGATACTTGAAGCATCTCGAGATGGATTCAGTGATTATTTTAGAGATGGTTGGAATTGGATCGATGTGTTTGCAATTACTTTGACATTTATTGGATTTTGTACAAGAATGAATGTGGTAAATAAACATGGATCAGAATTCGAAGAAGCCCATGATGTTATACTTTATACAACTCGTAATCTTTATATGCTTGGTCTAAATCTTTTTTATATGAGAACTCTACATATTACTTCAATTTCACCAATTATTGGTCCACGACTTAAAATGATGGCTGATATGTTACGTAAAGATTTGATACCATTATTAATAGTATTTGCAATTTTCATAGTCTCTTATGGAGTATGGTTTCAAGGATTAATATATCCAAATAGTTTTTATGAAACACATGGGCAACGTCAAAATAAGCATTTAATGAACAGCACTGAATTATCACGTCAACGTGATATGCAGAGACTTGGAGTGCTTATGTCATTTAGTGAATTATTTCGACGCGCCTTCTATAGTATATTTGAAGTGAGCATTGTTTTAGAAGAAGAGACATGTGAAGATAATAAATATTGTGGCAGTGAATTAGGATTTAATACAGTTATATTTTTTGTTCTGGTGCTATACGTTGGAATTGTTAATATTATCTTAATCAATCTACTTATTGCATTGTTCAGTAATACAGTATCAAGAATTGATCAAAAGTCAACAGCACATTGGTTAGCTGGACGTTATAAAATGGTTAAAGAATATAGTGAACGAACATTATTACCACCACCATTCAATACATTATGCATAATTTATGAATTATTTCGTTGTTTCTACATTGGTACTAGTCAATGCTTTTGTAAGGATATAAAATTTCCATTTGGAAGAAATAAAAAATTGTTTAAAACTGAGTCAAATGATGACTTGGAGGAACAAGAAAATGAATCACCTGATGAAGAGAATAGTAATTTGAAAAAACATTTAACTAGAGAAAACCAACTAATTAAAATTAAAGAAGAGAATAATAGACGAATTAAATTATTAATGGGTGAATCAGATGATCGTGGTAAATTATATAAACAAGAAATTGACGCCGTATTAAAATTCATTTTAATACAAAGTTTTGCATTACAAAATAGTAGGCACACATTGGGCACAGGAGTTAGTTTTAGAGGACCATATACCAGTCAAAATACAAGCAGTTCTGATGGAACAACTAATAATGAAAGTATACAATTACGTAATAATCAAATAGATAGTCGATTAGAACGTATTGAAGCTATATTAGAAAAAGTTGTTGATCGTGTAAATCAAATTAAAATAACTGATACATTATCCACTCAAGAAACACCAACTATACGTTCACCTGTTCCTATACGTATGCCATCTGTAAAATTGACTCATGCACCTACTGATGTACAGTTTACAGCTACAAAAATTCCAACATCAAAAGAATTATTTCAACAACTTAGTGATGAATTTCGAAATGAAACTGAAACAAATACACAATCTCTTAGCAGTAAACCACCATCTATCAAAATACAAAAGTCATTATAAGACACTGTAGTTTATTTTTTGAAAAAAAAACTCTTAATAACCTATGCAATTAAATAAACACAATAAAAACTGGGTTTCTTTCTCACTATATACAGAATACAGGCAAATCTAAAAATCTATCATATTCATACTATAGAGAATTATTTTCTAGTACAGTTACTATTTATTCTTTAAGAAGAAATATTGGGAAAAATTTAACAAAATAAAAGTAATATGAAATGTAATGTAATAAACAATTGAAATAAACATTAGAATTTCGATAATGCAATAAGAAGACAAAGTTTATCACAATGATGTGATATATTTGCTCAATACATTTCGAACAATCTAATCATACATAATACACTTGTTAAGAACATTTATAAATGAAAACTAAAAGGTCAACTAGACAGATTAAAGGTAAGCCGTAACAAAGAAAAAAATAATCATAAAGTACACAAAACACAAATGTGATTACCACTTTAATATTTTTTCCTTTGTTATGATTTACCTTTAAACCTGTCTAGTTGACCTTTTAGTTTTCGTAGAACAAATGTCTTAACAAGTGTATTATGTGTGATCAGATTGTTCGAAATGTATTGCGCAAATGTATCACATAGCTCTGATAAACTTTGTCTTCTTATTACATTATTGAAATTTATCAAAAGAACTAATTGTTTTAAACATTAGAATGTTGTTTTCTTTTTTCTAAAAAAAAAAAGAAGAAATATTATCTAGTTATTCATCTATGATTTTTCTTTCTCTCTTTCTTTTTTTTCTTTCATTTATTCTTTTATTAATAAAGAATGAATAATTCCATTAAGTTATTCATTGAAATAATATGTGTATGTAATAGAGATGTATATGAAAACAGATGAACTAAATACAATATAATTTTAATAGATTAATTAATCAGGGATAGATATTTAATATTCATTAAACATTAAATCATTTTGATCAAAATGTACACCATTCATTAAAGAATAGATCCGTTTTTTATTTGTTAATTGATTTGACTGAAATAAATAGTTTATTAATTTTTTTTGGGGGGGGAATGGGAGAGGGGTGAGTGATGGTGTGGGGGTGGGGTGGGTAAAACTATTTTAATTGTACCATCATTTTAATCTATTGTATATTCTCTAATCATTTACTGATATATATCTATTTCTTAACAAAATTATATTCAAGTTAAATATCCCCTTTTTACAAATTAGTTTGACCAATTATTTTTTGAGAAAAAAAGACAAAAAAAGAGAGAAAACTTATTGAATCGTAAAGTGTCAGTTACTATTGTATCTTTATGTGTTACATGTTCAATTGTATATTTAATGATTAACAATAAATTAGATTGGTGTTATTATTAAGGTTTAACTTGATAATTTTGAATAAATTAAGCATTGGGTAGATTGTGCGCAAAGATGGATAGTGGTTAGCAGTGGAATTTAAGACGCGCGTTTCGTCCTATTCTGGACTCGTCAACTCGATGTACCTGCACCTCAGAGTTGATGTTCACTTTGGAGCTCCAACTCAATAGCCTTTGCTTCAAATGCCATTGCGCTATCCATTTCGCTACTGAGTCCTTGAGTATAATGCTTGTGAGTTAAGACTATATCGAGGCAATCTGCACAGTTTGCATTGTGAAAGAAAAGATCCGAGTTTATACAATATTACTAGTAAATCTCTTTTCATATTGATAAAATTCAGTCACTCAGAACATATAAACATAAACCTGCATATATACACTTATTTATTGAGATTATTTAAGATCGCTTTGTGAACTATTTCCATAATCTCCTCTATACGGATAATTACTGTGTTAATTATAGAAATTGGAAAGCTATAAGACGAAGGTATGTCTCAATTGGCTAGTCTTTGGTAATGGTTAGATCTGTAGAAAGCTTTGTCGTAAAATTACTAATCTATTGTTTGACCTATTATTTTAGCTCATGAGTTGACTAGTTTTGTCTCATAACATATATTGATAGGTTTCGACCTGAAAAGGAGATTTTGAAAATTCCTGTCTGGTGTAAAATTCTTCTAGTCCATAATGATTCTTACATGTAAGTGAACGAACCATGTTATTTTGCAAGTAAACCGTGTTTAGACGAAGTTTGTTGACAATTTCTATTCCTGAAAAGATATTTAGTTGGCTTGCAAATACTGATCCTGAGCTTTTTGATACATAAATCTTGGGCAAACATTGAACTGTCGTCAATGTCTTTCTAATTCCCAAGAGGCGTTGATTACGTGGTGGCAGATAAATTAGTTTATGTTGTTTAAAACATTATTTTGCTTGTTGTTCAAGGTTGTAACTAACTGTTATTTATTAGCTATAGCGCACATAACAGTTTATTTAGTTACTGAAGCAGTAACGCTATGTTTAGGGTTGTCGGTATATATTAAGATTATACACAGACATTAACTTCATAGGTTGCCTTACTGAGACAGAGTAAATTTCGTATGCAGAAAATCGTTTGAACTATTCCTCTTACTATGGTTTATTGGAAGTCTTAATGTGATAAATTGAAAATGAAGCTAAGGAAAAAGACCAACAGATGCGTTCACGTAGTGAGCAATGATCAAAGTACGCCAATATGACAAGTGCTGTTTCCGAGTCAAGTATTTTATAAGCAACGCAAGTAAAAATTTCCCAACTCCCTAAGGTTGATTGATCATTTTCTCTAATTTTGAAATATTGCTGCCACAGAAAAAGTGAAGATAATGCTGATCAAATAGCTGATAGAGCCTCTGCATGAAAGGATCTGGAGAGGCGGAGCTATCGTTGACCTGGTGTTGAAACACGATGATGACATTTAAGAGATCTTTTTATCACAGTTGTGACAACTGAGAATATTTGCTGATCAGTGACTGATTATCACTCAAATGAACCCCTTGGCAAATTTATAGAAAGCAAAAACAAGGTTTCTCGAATACGATGAATTTATTACATTTCTTTAACAACATGCAAGCTAATAATTTTGATGAATCTAATATTTTAACAGAATTAGGAATTACGAAATTCACTAAAGAAAAGTAAATTGTGAGGGGAGTGAAATCGGAAAGTTTTGAAGAAGTTTCTGTAACATTTCAGTTAATTTTATTGCATAATTACAAAGGAAATATCTAACATGAGGGAATATAAGTTTTTAAACCCAACATACCGGATTGTGCTCATAATTACGTAAACTTTTTTACCACCATTACTTCAAAAGGCATTGATTACCAATGTTTTCTAATGAAACAAACTGGTTTTAGCCCAATAATTGCATCATAGTAGTTTCACCGAAATAATGTTTTCACACTACAAAACAAAATTTGTGAAAGCTATTGTCCATTGTAAATGTTTTTCTAATAGATATACTTCTGGATAGTTTGGAGGCTACTTTCTCGACAAGCCTCATTTTAAAAAGGAGAGATGTCATCCCTCCCAACTCTTTATTGTCGTTTTGGTATTTGAACGAATTCCATGAAAAGGTTCGACTGACTTATTTGTATAACATACGGATATACAGCCATACGATTTTAGTGTAATTTAAGTTAGTTGAATTAATATTATACACATACATGGATTACTGAGATACTCGAGTTTTTTATTCATAGTATGTTTTACTTTTTTACTTCATACCATTTGAATTGCTGAATTTTACTACTTCCTAGTTTTAAGTGTGTTGTACGATGCAATGGATTTTTCAATGGCAAGAGAAGTTGACAATCATAATTATGCATTGTAAACGGTTAGCTAGATTTGTTGTCTAAAGTACTTATTGTAATCAATATTCTATGGGATTGCTGAAATAATAGTTCTCAATAACCTTAGATGATACTATCGCTAAGCTAATAAGCACAATGATTGATACCATAATAAATCAGTCACTTCACAACTGAGCACTTTTTAGGAAACAAACATTAAACAACGATAGTAATAGTCATAATAATAGTAATAAATCATATTTACAATGTACATTTGAATTATACAATATACCTTAAAACATAATATCACTAAAAAAGAAGAAACATTGTCCTGTCAAGATAAAAAAATAGGAGGGAATAAAATCATCACCGACGTCTTTTATCGCGCATATAGTTTTTGAATCGTTGAAGTGCAATATTATCTGTGGATTTTTCGTTACGAATATGTGGTCGGCTATCTGCAAAAAATATACATATATAAATGGGAAGGCAATAAAATCTATATCATAGATGCTTATGAGATATGACAATTAAAAAGTTAATTATAAAGTCTTAGATGGAAACAATTTAATGATCTAGTAATTGTTTTAAGAAAAAGTTACTTGAAATGTATGGTTAAATGTTAAGCTGAAATAGTGGTCTAGATGTTAGGCGTTTGAGCGCGGGACAGAGAGTCTCGGGTTCGATTTCCGACTCAGTAGTTTGAGTGGTTGGATTTTCTCCAAACCTGAAAGCTCAGGGTGCTATTCCTGGTGTGGTCGGGGATACGAATTGTTTAGGGGTCTCATACTGGGGAATGAGACAGCTGTCAGTGCTTCCTAATTTTAATGGTATCCAAACCGAGATCAATTTGTGATGAAAGCAACCTACTAAACTAAGCCAAATTAAACGTATTCAAAATTTCACTACACTGCGACTTTTTGTTTCTTGTCTGTATCAACGACAAATAAGAACAGAAAGATGAATCTCGATAAACTTACTATCTAAACGACGATTTTCCCTTTGAGGAGACATCGGATTATTTTTCGTTGATTCCAGCTTGTTTGTATTATTATTGGCTATGTGGTTGAGTTCTCGTTCGTTGTTCAAATCAGCTCTTTTACTGATTCCATTTGTGTAACTATCTATATTTTTTAAATGAAAATTTACAAAGAAAATAGGAAAAATTTGTTGATTCATGCTTTATAACACTAGTATTAGCAATATATTTTCGACAGCTTAAACAAGTGAGTAGTGTCCCACAAATAGGCGTAATAATTAACATAAATATTACAACATTTAATGGGGATCTTGGCAAGGATTTTATCATCTATAAAGAAAGTAGAGAATTCTGATATCATCTATATGTCCAATATCATGAAAATGAAAGTTACAACTATTTCTTTTGGTAAAACTCAACGCAGATTTTTTATAATGCTGGAGCACTTTAAATCTTAACATATGAAGTCTTGGCATGATTTTAGGGTTGACTCAAATGATTCTAAATAAACAGGCAATAAACTCCTGGAATTACTTTGGGCCACGAATCCATTGTATAACAGCTTTAAATACCATTTGGTTTAATATGGTTGTTTCATTGATACAGACTTAGCACCAGAAACAATCAATAAGTGTGATTAGAAGTTGTTATCACCCACCAGAGCACATGAAAGTATCAGGAATAAAGTCGATACCATTGACCGATAGTTAGGTTAAATAGTCCGAAGGCTAGGTCAAATTGTTTGACTCAACCTTCGTGAAAATAAAAAGCTTGAGCAACTATACTTCTGTCAGAAGGTTAGAAATGTTAGGATACCAGTTTACGATAAAGGAATTAAAATAGTTTTAAAAATTTCTAATTAATTCATCTATCAAACACTTCAGTATGAGGCATATTCCAAGTGAGAACTAATGGCATTATCTGGTTGTTCAAAACAAAGTAGGTAAGATAAGGTTTGAACTTAGGGTTTAGGGGATGAAAGTAAAACTTTTTAACCATTAAACCACCGGTCAAGCAACCAAGCCAATGATAATTTTAGACATCAAATTAAATATCGGGTATATTGTTGGATATAGTGTAGAGACTAGTTTCAGGTGAATAAAGTGCACACCCGAAATATTAAAGAATAAGGCATCAAAAAAATGATAACTTATTGAACTAATACAAGAAAACATAAGGAGTTAGGTTGTAGTGAACAAGAACTCAGGTGAGGGAACACCAATTTATTGTTTAATGCAGAATTAGTCTTTTTTCAAACTTATGGAAACCATAAATGAAATACTATATATATATATATATATATATATATATATATATATATATATATATATATATATAGATGGTTTCCATAAATTTGAAAAAAGACTAATTCTGCATTAAACAATAAATTGGTGTTCCCCCACCTGAGTTCTTGTTCACTACAACCTAACTCCTTATGTTTTCTAATATAAACATTTGATGTATACAATTGTAATATTGACAAATTAAACGACGCATGAAGAGAAAGCAGCAAAGACTATCAGATTGACTATAATATAAATGTTGGTAATACGGAATATCTTACTATATTATACTTTATAGGTTCTATGAAATATGAACAAATAAATCTGGAAGCCACACGTGAATAGACAGCAAACATTAACTCACTCCACCGACTGTGCTGAACGAAGTTGACTGCCATACTATTTGGTGCTATGTGATCTGTTGAATAACCATGTTTGCGACTTAATCTTTTTCTAAAAAGTGTTTGCTTGGCTTCTTCTGTGGCTTCTATGTTTTTCATTTTCGCTTCTACACCCAAATCAACTTCAGGGATACCACATAACATTTGGTTGGATAACATGTCTTCCTTCTGTTGACCAATTGAAGGTTTGAGATACTCAGGAACATCCTGTAGTAAGTCTGAATCTTCATCCCTAAATCAAATATGGAAAATTTATAAACAATACATGATGAGAATTAGCATATTTAGTTGTTTGGAACATAGTTGTATTAAAATAATTCCAATAACATGTATTGCATTTTGACTACATTTCAAAGACTAGTAACCTAACTAGTCTACTTTTTTAACAATGAAATGAAAACTAATTCAAAATATATGTGACACGATGGGTCACATATAAACTAATTATGAACATTTCTAAGTTTGTGAACCTTAATTTATAAGCATAGGCTACGTGACTAACGCCTTTTGGATAAATATTGACGAAAACAAATAGAGATGGAAAAGAATCCATTCTCCATAAAGTTAAAAAGTGATTAAATGCAAATTTCTGTATTAGACTATATATTGAACATATACTGTGACAGCTAATGGAAGCATCCAACTTCAAGAACCTTAGTAAGGGGGTGTGGCAACTCGAACTGATGTACGTACGTACGAAGTTCTACGTTGTTACTGACTGACTGACTAGTAAGCAGAAAAGGGCTCGTGGTCCATAACTCATTAAAGTAGGAAAAATGAGCTGAAAATAAGCCACAATATTCACGTACAGGAACACCAGTGTGGACAATCGAATGTATTAAACACAAAATTACAGGATTTGTTAATAAAATCTAACAATCATATAGTAAATGCTAAATTTGCAAAATGTCCATCACTTGTCTTAAAATGACTCAGACTTCATTGTTCTTGCATTCTCATACAAATTGCATTCTGTTTCCATTCTTTACTGTTCGATCCTCTTGTCTCTCCGCTGCCAGATATTCTGTTCATGACTGACGTCATATACTACTTATGTCGATATAAGTAGCACATACCACACTACTATATGACCATGAGACTGACCTAGACATAAAACATCTAGTTTAACAGGAATAAATGAATATGAAATAGTACGAAGCTCAATTTAGATATATCATAAATTCCACTTAGCCACTGTGATAGATTTTGGACTGTCTTTTAAAATCACACACTTTTATTAGGGAATGTTTGACAGTATTCGTCCAATCAGTAACAAACAACGCACAACTTGACATTAATGTGTATACGATTAAAGTTGTTACACGAAGGGAAATGAAAAAACATGCCAAATAGAGCAGTTGGAAAAGTGACATCGGAGTCTGACTGTTTAGTCAAGTTTCAAAGTGACGTTTCCTGCAGCTAATACCGAAATGAAATGGCGTGGTTTGATATGTTAAAGATTATCATTTAGGTGGTAAGGCATTCGTGTAAAGATCTAAGTAGTGTGGAAGTACTTTCTGTCTGGTTTCCAAGTAGCACTGGAAGTAACAGAAGAGTGGTCAAGTTTTAAAAAACGATTGGTTTAGGTTAGTTTTTTAGCATGTCATAAGCTGCTTATTATAGCAAAACTCGTTCCAATCACTATTTTAAAAAAAATAACACTGAGAGCAATATGGTCTCATTTGTATGTTCATATCGTAAACACTTTATATAAGATCAGGAATTTAGTTCTAACACTGACGAATTATTCGTAAACTGTTTCAAGTTGTTTCTACAGATAAAGAATACTTGAAATATATTACATATGTTGTCTCCAAACAAATATAAGAAAAGCATAATTCATATAGAAAGTACTGAAACATACCGGTCTAGGGTGGAGGGTTTAATTAATCCCTTTCGTTTGGCTACTTCCTCCTCGATGTACTTGATCCTAAAATTAAGCATTATAAAGAATGAGGAAGATTACATTTCGGCATCTTCATCTCTCTTATTAGTTTCTGTGGCGAACGTTTTGGCTAGACGAGCTTCAACGTCATCGTCCTCTTCGGATTGTTTAGCAGATGAAATACTGTTTAGGTCAACTAGACCACCAGTCTTAAGTCTAAATGGGTCGTTGGCGATTGTTAGATTGAGATCTGGAACTTCTTTACCAGTGGCTAGTGCAGACAAGCTTACTCCAGCTGGTCGTTTCCTTAGTTTTTGCAATTCTCTTATTGCTTCCACAACTACTGTGGAGTCTGCAACAACAGGTGCAGTAGAATCTTCGAGACGATCCTCCTCAGAATCTGAAGAGACACTCAGCTCTGTGGTTTGTCTCAGGCATCGCACCTTACGCGACTTCATGTGACACCTGAAGGGAAAAAATGAAGCATTTCTTAAGACTTGCTAGTTAAGGAACCTTCAAAACCTTCATAGACTTGACAGCATTTTTTGGACGTTGCCCCGTAAGATGATTGTACTTGAGTGAGTTCAAGTGGATTGGAGACGCTACGTAGAGAAGAGCTGAAAAATGACCGAAATATTCATCTGGAAGGGCTTTACTAACAAGCGGCTAACAACTTGTGCATTATGACTATTGATAGCTGTGAGCCTCAGTAATTATATTCACATTCACCAACGAATCTTACTGTATTCCGACAGAACATGGGTACCTAAATTTCACCTACACCTGAAGATAATCGGACTGATGGTCTCAGAACTTTGGGTAGATCGTACCCAGACAAATGAGATGGAACGATACCTTAAAAAGAACAAATTCTCATGGATTCTTATGGTGATAAGCTACAACCTACCTTCACATGTTGTCATTAAAAAAATAAGTTTCGATTTCTAGCTCAGTGACTGGTTCCTGAACCTTTCAAGACTGCTCGAAGACACATATTGTACTTTGTCAGGGGATTTGCATAAACTTTCAGGTGCACTGGGGGATTGTCATATACTAAATGTTCACCTCCTGGTTTACACAGCGGACAACTTCATTGTTACAGTCTGCTGGCAACCTAAGCTGCCAATTTTGAGGAAAATTTGGCACATTTTGGGGAAGCCGCTATAGTAAGTTTTGGGGAAATGGCACAAAAACCCCAAAATTTCCCCCAAAGTAGGTAGCTTGGGATATTTGACTTGCTCAGAGACATGTCTAACATCCTTACCTTGTATGCCACTACCCGATAACTTTAGAATGAACTAATCAGAAACAATTTATTTCTTATTTTCCCCCTTGATTTCGACGAAAACGCTCCAATAAACCTATTTCTATATAAACGCCGTTAAAATGAAGCCTATTATAATGAATTTTTGAAGATTTGTATAAACTAGGACTGAAATGCGAGAAAACATAAAAAAGAACATAAAATGTCATGTAACAGTCTAATTACTCCTGAAACCGTCGGACAAATATAAACGTAACGCCAGAAACTGTACTACGAATCTCTTTATCTCAATATCCAATGTCTTTGTGGTGAGCTTGTCTAAACCTATTGATTGGGTGAATTTATCCGTGAATGCCACATTTACGAAACTGGGTTGCGTTTAAAAGCACCTTATTGATTTCTTTGAAATAGCTTCTACAAGTTGCGGTCGGGTTATAGGTCTTCCATGCCGTAAAATGTAGGTTTCTCAGCTACTCCGTTGTATGAAACCAAGTGGACTTGGTAGTTAAATGGTTCAAATGGTTGTAGACGGAATAGAAAAAGCTTTCGCTTAACAGGCTTCCGTGTCTAGTAGCAGGGGATCATCAAATCCTCCAGGCAGGAACCTAGGTATGTTAACAATAAAAGAGGAAAAGAAATTAGTAAATCATAGTGTGATACTATCCATTGTCCTTAAGAATAGATTGAGTTGCCTCTTAAAGGACTCCTGGGAAGTTACTTGGACTAGCTCGGCCGGCAGCGGATTCCAGCATTTGACAACTCTTAAGGAGTAGAAGTTGTGTCTACAGTCCGTTCTGCTATGTTGTGTCTCCAGTTTCTGGGTGTTACCCCTTAGGTTAGTGTTGGAACTAAGCTCAAGTAGGTTTTTGAGAGGATGTCCAGAAGTGTTAAGGATACTATAAGCCATCAGAAGGTCACCTCTAGGACGTCTATACTCTAATGAGTAAATTTTAAGTGAATGGAGGCGCTCTTCGTAAGGTTTAAGTTTGAGTCCTCGAACTGATTTCGTGGCTCGCCGTTGGATACGCTCCAAAGTGTCCTTATCCTTTTGGAGTGAGGGGGAGTGCTGTTTCCGTACTCTAAATGGGGACGGATGAAACCATGGAAGATTATATGGAAAGTTCTTCCGTCAATCTGTCCAAAAATGCGCTTCAACGTTACCAGTGCAAGGTTTGCTCGGAAGGCATTTTTGTCACGGTTAGCGTAAGACTTTAAGTCATGGGGCACCAGGACTCCTAAATCTTTTTTCGACTCAGAATGCTACTAGAGAGGAGTTTCCTGAGTTGTAACTGGAGTCTGTGACATGTCGCAGATGGACTACTTTACACTTTGAAGTTTTAAAGGTAAGTCCGTCATCGTCTGCCCAACTTTGAAGTCGAGTCAGATCCTCCTGAAGTGCCTGTATATCGTCTTGGTTGCTTATCTCTCTCCAAAGTTTCACGTCATCGGCATAAAGTAATAAGTCTGACGTCACCTGTTGATTAAGATCATTTATGTATATCAAGAGGAGAAGAGGTCCTAGTACTGAGCACTGGGGGACCCCACTAGGTATTCCATAGCCTGAGATAAAGTGAAATTAACTCCAACCTAAACGTGTCGATTTTTTAGGTATGAAGTAAGCCAATCGGTTAGAGGTGGTTTGATACCTAGTTGTTTGAGCTTATTGATAAGACACAAGTGGTTAACCTTATCAAAAGCTTTTAAGAAATCAAGGTAAATGATATCAACCTTTCCCTTGCGATCGAGGATGCTTGTCCATCTGTCCACCGCAGTCAGCAGGTTGGTTATACAAGAGTAACCCTTCCTGAAACCATGCTGTTGGGGTGAGAAGAAATTTAAGGACAGTAGATAGTCGTTTAAACTGTCGCATATCAGGGACTCCATGAGTTTTGAAGGTAATGACAGAAGAGCCACCGGCTGATAACTTGAGGGTTCATTGCGTCGACCACCTTTGAAAATTGGTGTGATGTGAGCCAACTTCCAGTTTTCCGGTAATTTGCCTCGGCTTAGCGAGTATGAAAACATCACGCTAAGCGGCGTTGCCAGGATTGAGGCTGCCTCCCTCAGTATGGCAGGATGAACAATATCCGGGCCAGGAGAAGTATCTAGTCTTAAGTGCTGCAATTTCCAGAACACCAAGTCAGCGCATAGGTTCACTTCGGAGAGTCCTGTGGAATTGCAGATGAAACTGTCGTCAGTAAGTTTGATGTCAGCCGGTTGAAATGTTTGAGAGTAATGTGCCGCCAGAAGGTTAGCGGCGTCGCCATCGTTGTTGGTCGGGCCGTTAAGATCTAGCAGTTGAGAAACTCCTGTTTTGGCTTGACGAAGAGAAGCTGCATAACGGAATAGGCTTCTAGGGTTAGAGGCAGATTTGTCCATAAGCTTTGTTTGGTACTGAAGCCTATCTTCTCTTATAGCCTTCGTGCATATGTTCCTGATATGTTTATATTGCCTGTACGCTCCATCGTTGTCAATTCGTTTGTATTCCGCCCAACGGTGCCTTTTGCAGCTTAGCAGGCAAAGGGTACGGTTCTTGATTACTGTAGGTGGCTTGCAGCTTTTGGGAACCGTTTGAGGAACTGAATGGTTTGTAGCACATAAGAGCGTGTGCAGTAAGAAGTCTCAATGACCATCCACATCGAGTTGAGGGTGAACATTTCAATCCAATTGTTGTAGATAGTCGTGTAGAGCTGGCACATTCAACCGTTTAAAATTCCAACGCAAGTTATTGGTGGGATAGCTTACTTTAGTTTTGCTGACAAAACTGAAGGCTATGACGGCATGATCGCTTTTTCCCAGAGGAGCCAAGATTGAGAGGTTGTCAACTAGGAATTCTTCGTTTGTGAATACACAGTCTAAGTGCGATGGTGTCTGAATGTTCCCCCAACGAGTTGCCGACCTCACATTTTCGTATAATCCCAAGTCATCGATGAGGTCGAAGAACCGAGCTTCAATTGTGTTCCGCGAAGTTGACTCTAGGGAGATTAAAGTCCTCTAGAATCAGGATGTGTGTGAAACCGAGACGGGTAGAGCGAGATAGTCCCTCCAGCATACGACTATCGTACTCGATGTCGGCAGTTGGCTTCCTGTAGATGACTCCGACTAGACACCTCGAAGTACTAGACAATCTTACAGAGGACCATATAGATTCCTCAAAATTGTTAAACTCGAGGTTATGAACCTGGAGCACCTCCAAGCAAGAATGCATGTATACGGCTACTCCGCCCCCAATTCCTGATTTTCTGTCATTGCCGAACAAAGACATCCTAGGTAATGCTAACTCTTGGTCCGAGAACTGAGAAGATATCCAGGTTTCAGATATTCCTATCAGATGGGCCGTATTAGCGTTGCTAAGTTCACGTAGTTCATCCAGTTTGTTTGGTAGACTCGCGGCGTTCATATATAAGCAGTTTATGCTTTCAATTTGGAACGCGTGAGCTTCGTCCTGTTTGTCTGTATGAGCCTTACGTGCATGGACAGGTAGCCCACTTATATGAGGTTTGCCGAGGTGGTAGGCCCTGTCCTTTACACATTTTTTTATCGTCTAGACAGTTCGCAAGTGGAATGATCAGCTCCAACTTGCCTTTGTGTTTGGTCCTAGCTTCGTATGGCCTATACGGGTGCATGTGGATTCCAGGTGGCAGTCGACGTCTGTTGGCACGAAATGCTTCCAGAGTTGCAGCCGACATATGGGAAGATGGGAAGGTTATGTTCATGTCTTGGATGACCATCCTTCCTGGCTAGTCTCGCCACATGCTGAGTCAGTATGTGTTTGAGCCTCAAGGACTGTTTGATGAATTTCCATTCCCTAATGTCAGTTTTTGATTGAGCAGGGTCTGCATTTTCCGGTATACCTTGCACGATTATATTCCTCCCGCGGAAAAACTGATCGCGAGATTCTTTGGGGATGTTCCGGATGAGGTGGTGCTCAGAATACGGTATGTCAGGCAGTTTTTTTACATTCACATCTGATTTCAGTAAATGACTCGCTAGTAAGACATCCTCAACGTCGGTAGCATTCTTAAGTGTTACACGAAGTAGCCTCGGGTGATTTTTATGCTTGGATTCCGTCCCGCGAGAGAGCCGTGTGACTGTCAAAGGCTCTTTTCTTGGAAGTTTAAGTTTCTTGTTCAATTCTATCCAGAGCATCCTATTATTTTTGTCCTGCAAACTGAGAGGAAGGTCAGGGTTGTCTTTTATGTTCATGACTATGAGAGAGTCATCACGAAACGTTATTGTCGTCCCAGGTTTTCCGGTGCGTTCAGATTTAGCACCTTGTCGTTTGGGGGTCAAAGCACGTTTATGAATCCTTGGCTCTTAGCTTTCGCTTAACTGGCTTCTGTGTCTAGTAGCAGTGAATCACCAATACCCACAGACAGTAACCTAGGTATATTAACGGTAGAAAAGTCCTTAAGAATATGTCAACTATTCTCATAAAGGACTCCTCAGAAGTCGCTTGGACTAGCTCACCCGACAGAAAATTCCAATTGGGGATTAGAATCCCTTGAGTCTGTGTAAGTAGGTTTGTTCACGAGTAGTGAGTTTAATAGGACTGACAGCTATCGCCGCACCGGAAAGGATGTCGATCTATTATATTAGGGATTATAAAGTCAGAATGGAGAAAAGTGAAGACAAAAAAGTCAGAATAGGTAAAACAATGTTGTATGCAAACTGTATGAACAGGTTAGTCTCTTGAAAACTGATAGAGGGTAACAAGAAGTGGTGAACAGAAATGAGGTAATAATCACATAAGAATTTTAAAAGCGATAAGAATGATGATGGCGGTAATGACAAGGTTTCGTGAAGATAGTGACTGCAGAAGTGCAGTGGCCAGAGACCTGACTCCCATTAGATCATAGGAATGATTGTTATTGAAATATACACATCACCAATCCTCTTATATAGTCATCGACTTGAATCACGTTAGTGAAGAACGGAATTAAATTTGCCAAATACGAGGATGGATATTGAATATGTATAATTCATGCAGTTATTGATTTGAACAGGCAACCAGAGGGGAGAAACAGAGAGGGGAGATCGAACCAGACTGAAGAAGGCAAACGAGCCAACTCAGCCTAATCAAGTGTCAGTCAATATTTATAGTCCGAACAAAAATAATCTACAGACATGTGATGAGTGGGACAAGCAATCAACACATATACAACCATATAAAGACAATCAGAATAAATAAGCCAATGAGTGACGAGGTCAAAATTTGATTTAAGAAAAATGAATAGATTGACATGCCTGGAAGCTGTAATAAACTGTGAGGTCTCAACATAGCACATAACGTTACA